CAGGACTTTCGGAGCCAAGAAGGTCTATACGCGCTCTGTCCATCGTCTACGTCGTCTTCCATCACCGGTCAAGACCTCTTCTCCGCACACTGCCTCTCGCGTCCAGACACCCTTGCTGCTTTCAACACCTTCATTGGCAACCTTTCAACCCTATGCGCCAAAGCAAAACCGACAAAAACGCATACACTCCTTCGAGGATTGGAAGCTAGACCAAAGCTGAGTCCGCGAGGTGGAAAAAAGGGAAGAGGTGAAGGAAAAGGTCGATTGTTGAGGGTCTACACCCAAAACATTGATGGCTTGGAAGAAAAGGTTGGACTAGGAAACGGCATCTCGTCCGTCATCAAAAAAGGCGTCCTCGGTAGCGCCGTTACACCATCATCTATTTCAGTACCTCTTATCGTCAAGCTACACGGCTCGCTATCCGATTCACGCTGCGCACTCTGCCAAACTACCATCCCTACAACTCCCGAGTTCACCGCACTCTACACCGCCGGCACCACTCCCAGTTGTCCGACATGTGCTGATCGCTCTGCCATGCGAGTTGCCCGATCCGCGCGTGGTATCAAGATCGGCGGACTTCGCCCTGCTCTTGTGCTGTACGATGAACCTCACCCGGATGCGGAAAAGATTGGCAGCATTCAAGTCAAGGATGTCGATCCTGCCAAGGGAAGAGAGCCCGAGATGGTGCTTGTGATGGGAACATCGTTGAAGGTACACGGTGTCAAGAACTTTCTTCGTTCACTTATCAAGACGATCCGAGCTACCCATTCCTCATCCGAGACTGGTCATGCAACCCATCGCATCGCTTTCATAAACAAGACCGCACCACCAGCAGAATTCAAGGATGCCTTTGACGTCTGGATCCAAGGAGATTGCGATCATTGGGCGAGCTTGACGGAAGCCGAGTGGAGACGACAGAGACCGTGGGAATGGGAGACTCAGGAGAAGCTTGCCTTGTCGGCTTACTCTGGGGTACAACTCAAAGCCTTCGATGGTAAAGCAAAGTCCGCTGGAAAGGAGAACTTGCCTATGCCACCGCTTACATCGGTCGTCATGAATCCTGGACCTGCCGCTTCGCTGAAACGGAAGAGAGAGCACGCATCAAACATCACCACTCCTCGCAAAACCCAGCCGACATCTGGACCGCCTTTCCTGTCAGCGCAATCAAACATCACTGCACCCTTATCGCCATCGCCGACGCCGACTTTTACACGATACCATCGCCGCATCGACGACTCGGGCACGGAAGACGACGTGGTACAGGATTCGGAACCTGAGCGACAGCTGCGAGGGCGAAGGGTCCGACAACCCGTTACACCATCGTCATCACGACCTGCCAAAGGGTCGCTACAGTTACCAGACACGCCGCCTCAATCTCCGTCAAAGACCAGGACGACAGCAGCCGCATTGCGTTCCAGCCGTCGGTCCTGTGTCGCTCGCTAGGCGATGTCTTTCCGCATGATTCGACTATCTCTACTTTACCACTCTTCGATTTCGCTTCGTTGGTTCATTACATTAACACTGGATTCACTATTCGATTTCGCTTCGCCTGCGACTCTTCATTGCATCGTTACTCGGTATTACACTATTTGATTTCGCTTCATTTGCGGCTTTTCTGGCATCGCTAGTCGATACTTCATTCGATTTCGCTCGGCATTCCAACCAGGAACTGCACGGCCACCTTTCCGCACTTTACGCCTTTCGATTTCGCCTCGGCGGTTCAATCCCGTCTTACAGCATCTCCTATGGGAATGCTTTGCTACACCATCAACCTTTCGATTTTGCTCTACGCATTACCATATGCTCTTTTTGTCCCGGTCGACTTCGGTGACCCCTTGCGTCTTTGCCTCAAATCTTCTACCTTCAATTTCGCCGCTTGCTTTTTCGGCCGACTGCATCTGCCCAGCTGCATCCAATGGCCGTTTGCCATGGTGTTTGCTCTTCGAACATTTGATTTCGCTTCCCAAATTTCACCACGAGCGCCTCGTTGGGCTATATGCCGGCCGAGCTCCGCCTTTCATTTGATTTCGCTCTATCATTTGCTTTCGCTCTATCGTTGACGCTACAACGGCATCTTGTTGGAAACTCGCCACCTGACGCTACTTTGATTTCGCTCTTTGGCCGACCCTGCTCAAGTCTATCGTTTGTTTGATTTCGATTCCTGTTCTTTGCTACCCGTGGACAATCCGTTCATCAGCTCGCCTGTCGGAATGTCATCTCCGGGGTTTCGATTGCCACAATATTCCCACCTTTGGGACATTTGATTTCGCTCCCTGTGCCGCATTCACTTTCGCCTACCATAACACTCGAAATTTTGCAGTTTCTCCTCGACCACATACAAGTTTTCGCCGACCGTTCGGCACACCATCACACTGTATCCATCCATGCACTCGCTGACCAAGCGCGTTGCCAGGTTCTCGACAACCGCATAATCTATCAGCACATAAGTCTCGTTGTATTACTGAACTGGAAAGAACAAGCATGATTCAAGTCTTCACGCAGCTCTGAAAGTTGATCTTGCGCGAACGAGGCTTTCGAGCTGCTGCTACTCGGTCCTGTATGCCGCCGCCTGCATTTCTGCAGGGATGAGGCTTTCGAATGCTGCCGAAAGGGCTGCATCCGGGGCGCTTGGTTGTCGAGTCGCGCATGCATACCATGAAGTGTGAATGCGGTCGCGGGAGGTTCATACCAGAGATATATTTTGGGCCTGTGAGATTGCCGCATTGCGGATCATTGGGCTACAAAAGGGACTGGGGTAACATGCATTATGGGCCGGTCGATTGAGGCATGATTATTTCCTTGGTGGGGGGCAGAATCGCCAACCGGATATGGCTTGCGGTCTAACTGCCATCGAAATCACCTCTGACACGAGGGCCCGTCCTGAAAGTTCAACCTTACTCGGCCTTTCGCAAACTCTTTGAGGGACAGCGTCATTGACATGAAAATACGCAGGAGGATATGATATATGCTAGAACACGATACAAAGTACAACATCGCCAAGAGGACGTCACGGTGACCCGGCAATGGGATGGGATGATCAGCGAATGAGGAAGGCGCTTAACAAGATGTCGAGTGAAGATGGTAGACGGCCGATGATCGTACATGCATCCTTCCGGGTTGTTAGACCTGTGTCATAGCTGATGTGCATGTGGGCGGCGTCTTTGATAGGAGCGGCTGGTGCCTCTGAGTAAAATCGAACAAATCAATTCCTGATCTGCAGAGGCAACCGAATAAGAGCGCACATGAGAAACTTTGGGAACGTCATGATGTTCCGTAAGCTTTCCGGTAGATGTACAGGTATTCAGCATCGTTTCGAAAGTGCTCACATCGTCTCGTGCCAAAGAAAGGGTCCCCATCTTGCCTGTGACTTGCCTTTTGGCAACATGGTGGAGATTGTAAAAATCGCAAAGATGACGACGAGAAGAAGAGAAAGCACAAGCTGCAAGAAGGATGGCAATCGGATTCTCTTCGCCTTTCCGCCAGGAGACCATAGGAATTCTGTCGTAAAAGAAACGCCTTTAAAGAATTTCGTGTACACCAAGACGACTACTGGGAGGGAAAAGCATCCTGAGAAAATGGTCATGGTAGATGAGCACATGGATAGCCTGCGGGCATGACAGTATGTGCGACTCGCCGACGAGCTGAATCAACAAGGCTGCTCTTATAGTCCTGAGCTCGTCTGGTGCACCTGGTGATGTTGGTTTCACAATCTGACAACTGAATTCGGGAGATATTCAGCATAACGTCAGATTTTTCGAGGCTTGGTATGCGCTCCGTAGTCTAGGTGGAAAATCATAATTACTGTTCCTTGTCCGGTCCTGAACACATTCTCAACGCTGTCACCCAAAACTTATCCCCCTCTTCGGGTGCCACTTCGATGGCGTACCGCATGAACAAAGGTGCGATGGCGATCAAGATTGGATATCCCAGTGATACGAAAATGTAAGGGAATTTCAGACACCAAATGGCTTTGGTATACTTCCCACGATCTGCGATCAAAGGCCAGAAGCAGCATTTGACAGCGCCCTTCCAATCTCTCTTCCACTCTCTCCACCACCTGGCTAGTTTTGTTTCGGAAACCCAGCCAGAATTCTCTGGATCTGACATCTTGTTTATTCGGTGAACCAAATTTAGGGAGGAATCGCCGTCGGATGTTTTTTTGTCCCTAGTAGATTGTGTGTAGCACTGTGAGAGGCTGCGACTGTCCACTAGATGCTAGAGGATTTAGAGATGTGCAGTCAGTTTTAAGGGATCAGCGTTTCTTTTTAAAGCTAGGGTGGACTGTTTTAATCAAGGGCCGCCTCCATTGAGTTTGACGGGCGACGGGATGGCAATCAAGGGAAGGCAAAGAAAGGAAGGTATCCCGCTCTTGGCATACCACATAATATGCAAGAGACCCCTGCAGCACGGCTGCTAATAACAATCGCAGGTCATTTTAGGCATTTTGACATCCCATCCCATCGGGAACATCAGCAATATGGTTGATCTGAGACGAAGCACCAAAGTGATGATCTTACATTAACGTGAGGACCGAACAATCTAGGTTTGCCGACTGCACGGCGAGACGAGACGACTCGGTCGCGTGGGTCTCCCGTTCGACGGTACACGACGAAATGTCCCATACATACTCGTGAAGGCACCACTCTGGATCTGGAAAGTACCAAAAGGGTACCGGGCATGGCGACCAAGTATTTTTAGACCAGACACGGCGTCATCCTGCCTATCTCACGGCGTTTCACTCGGACGGCAAAAAGTCGCGCAAGAAAAGGCGAGTGCACCTTGTTTACAGCTGGAGAAGTCAGCGAGTGGCTTCCTGCTTACGATACAGACGGAGGGCGCCGTTGTGTAGCACCTTCAACGGCTCGCAGTTGTTCTGAAACATGTCGGACCGAACAACGCTTTCCATCCGACAAAAACACGCAAAGCTTGTGCACAACATGCCCCTCGACCCCCATAATATTCCTCGACCCCCATAATATTCCAGAGATCGCAAAAAGAGTCTTCCCACGTTGGGGTCGAACCAACGACCTTCGAGTAGCGGTCATAGGTTCCACACCAACGTGGGAACCCTTGAATAACAGCTCGACGCAACTACCACTGTGCTAGTGAGAAGGTTGTTGCATACTCCAACCTTTCGTGACTAATAATCAGTGCAACAACTTGCTGATTATATGACCGGCCCCCTTCCCACAAGTTCCCAGTGTTAATCTGGTCAATCTAACATCATTCAGGTGACTTGGTTTCCTGTACTCCTTGACGTCAATAACAGCGGTATGAGCCCTCACGCTCCATTCACCCTAAACACGCTCCATTCGCCCTGCGTGCCGCGAGCAAATCTACACTGCAAACCGGGTTTTTCCTTGGAATCTCTTGCAAACCACCCGGACCGTCGCTCTCAAGAGTCATCGAAATTGATGACAATGCGCGCATCCTCGAAGATCCTGGCATTACCAGCACGAGAAAGGTGCAGTACAGGGGGTAGGTGTCCCTCGGGAACCGAGCAACAGTTCAAACGCCCCAACCAGCACCAGAACGCGACCGAGTTCGATAGTATAAATGTGCCTCCGCCACCGTCTGAGTGAACAGCGAAGCACCAGCAGCTGTTCAAGGACAAGTAATGGGATGAGCGAACAGAACTACGGACGAACGTGACAGCCACAGAGCAAACAATCGATTAGAGAGCCCAGCTCCCTCCTTTGAGAGAGCTACACAACGATTTTCTGGCACTTGAAACATTTCATTCGTTTCTGATATACATGACACGACTTGATCCCCTCGAGTATAGCATTACCCCTTACCCCCGCGATCATCCGCATTTGGCATCCTGCGTCTTCACCACATTCTTGAACATTTCCCACACCTCGGTCTGATTCGGATAGATGGTGTACCCGTCATTCGGGCTGGCGCCTCCGACAGTGGAGTCGCCGTATTGAACGACTCCACCTGTGGTGAGACCGAGCTGGCCCCATCTACGGTAACCGATCCGAAAAGGTTCAGTGAGGAAACAAAGGTGGTAATATACATTACTTACTGCCAAGGCATGATGCCAGCAATATCACCGTCCAGGGCGGTTTGCAACCATTCGGGGTAGATGGCTGTCTTGTTGCCATACCCCTCCACGCCGAATTCTTCCATTACGATGGGCTTGTTGTTTTGCTTGCCGCTGGCGATGTGCTGTTGTTGCCAGGAATAAGTTGGACACCCATACGTGGACGGAGTTAAAGACTCACATCCTTGATGTACTGAGTTCCCCACGCCGCAATATCTTTCTTCGCCCAGCTCTATATCACACACCGCGGCGTCAGCATATATCTGAATGAGAGACAAAAAGACTAACCTGAGGGTAGAGATGGAAAGTTCCGAAATCGATGGTTGAGATTTGTAAGTTGGCATCAAAGTCGAGTCCACTCCCGCCATTATACTCGTAATCTGCAATTCGCCATCCAGAATGAATATGACTTGTAAGCCATCCGAGACAGCACACTCACCGGCAGCTCCAGGGCGGTTGTAGAAACCCTCGTCTCTAGAAGAGGGGCAGCCATTTAGCACGGCCATCCGACATCGACAGCCCCGTCGCACTCACCCGACACAAACCATGTGCTGAGGGTCAATTGACTTGATGTACTGGGACTGGTCTTTGACCCATTGCGACAAAGTGGCCGCCGTGCACTTGCCACTGTTGATCGCCGGGTACCCATTGCATCTGGGCTCGTTGGCGAGCTCCCAAGAGAAGATGGCCTTGGAATTCTTGTACCGGGAAACGATAAAGTTCACGTAACGCTGGTAGCTCTCGACCACTCGAGAGTCGGAGTAGAAGACATCGTGGTAGGTGTCGTTGCCGGTGATCTGCTTGTTGTAGATATCCATCGAGCCGTACCCCTCCCAGTTGTTAGTGAGCGGGATGATCCTATACAGAGGATGGCTTGCTAAGTACAGGCCACAAATGGAGAACGCGGAACACTCACAGTTTTACATCATACTTTTCGGCGAGTCGAACCACTTCATCAAATCGCTGCAGACCATTCCCGCCCGTATTGAGGTACCAGCTGCCGTTGATCCACATCTGGTAGAATGCGAGGTCGGGGTTGCGAGGCTCGGCAAGAGTTGATTCAACCATTCCAAAGCCCCATATTCGGAGGACTTTTTCTCCAAACTGCTGCAAAGATTCGAACACCGCTTCGACATCATTGGGAATCTGATTGATCCAGTAGCTCTACATCACGACGCCGTTGTCTGGTCAGCCGTGTTACAAGGAAGAGAGTGACTAAGCGTGCTTACATTGGTCCCCGAAAAGTAAAAGGGCTTTCCATCCAAGCAGAACTGGCCGTTCTCGGAAACAACGACGCCTTGATTACCCTTTGCGGTCTTCTGGGAACATTTCGATTTGTTGGGAGCAGCCAAGACTGTGGTGTTCAAGCTTGCCAGAAGCAAAGTGGCAGTGACCATAGAGAATCTCATCTTGCGCAGTGAATCCCCTATGCGACTGAGTAGACGAGTAGTAAGGTATCAGCTCAAAGCCACGCAGACGCTCCATATATAGTGTTCATCGACATACGGAAGGGCTCACGTTTCTACACTGCTATCCATGGCGCAGGCGATGAGCGAAGAGTGTCTCCTTGCTCCTCTGAATGTGCAACATGTCGGGAAAGGTTCGGACGACACCTGGACCAAGCTAGACTTGAGAATCGGACCGACATATCAATTTGTCACTTCCAAGGTACCTACAACGTTGCGTGCCTTGATCAATAACCTGTCCTGCGACGAATGAATAGCGCTTGGAAGCTAGTACATAGCTGAAGCCCCGATGGTTTCGCACCCATTTTGCATGTCAAGCCTTGGAATAGAGTCAAGAGGCACCTACGGGAATCACTTGTTCCGCTTGTCTATTTTCTGGTAACGTCCTTTCCGTAGGAGATAGCCGTGTCGCAACGGCGGGATATGTGATGGTAAGAGTACTTCATGGAGCCACATGTGTAAGTCGACATGTGGTTGTAACGAATAGGGCTCAATAGGGATATCAATCGTTGGGCGCTAGCAGCACCGAAGAATCCGAGAAAACGCCGGATCGAAAAGGCTCCGAAAAGGCTGTCCGAGCTGCAACGACTGCTGCAAGGCAACACTGAGGCAAAGCGCAGTTCAAACGTCTTCCGACATCATGAAAAGATTTGCTGACACTTAGGACAACCGCCGACCTGAGGACTGACCGACTGTGGTGCGCCGACGTATTCGTCAATCGGCATCCGTTCTACTTGCTACAAAGTGATGAAAATGGCAGATACAGGCGAAGATCGCCTGGAATCCATCGATGTTTTCAAAATACACCTGTTTGCACCCTATGTATATTCGTTGCTTTGGCGATCCGATCACAGAAATGTGGCGGTCCAGTCGGGCATGTCTGCCACTCGGAAACTGTCTTGCTGGTAATGATGACTGCGAATGTCATGCGCGGAGATTCGACCGTCCCTCCATTTGCCAGAAATCAAGCATTATCGATTAGCCCCGGTCACCTTCCCACAGCCGTCTTCGACGAGGTCAACGCGATCTGTTTCATTTCCGCCGCGAGTTCGACCTCCGTCAGGTTGGCAAGTGATTCGCGCGAGGAAGCTGACCGATTCGACAGCACGGTGGGGCCAACCCTCGACCTCTTGCTTTGTAATGGCGAAGAGGCGTCCGAGTTTTCTTGGGCTAGCGTGGAACTCTTTGGCATGCCGACCGACCCCGGCCCGTCACCTCCTAGCTGATAAGTCGAAGAGGCGGAAACGTTGCGCAGCATTGAAGAGCGTCGGATTGTCGAGTCGAATCCAGTTCCTGGAGTCGTAGGTGTACGTGGTCCGTAGTTCATCGAGCGTGATGGCGAGTTGGCATTGAAGTGGGTGGCTGAGATGGATAGCTGTGGCATACTAGAAGACATAGGCATCGTCTTTGGCGCATGTTTACCAAGTATAGTGTCATGGACTGGTTTCCTCGTCATTCTTGCGGAGCTTGTCTCAACGTTGGACTTCAAGGTCGCACTATGCCGCTTGAATGTTCTCTCCAGCCACCTGAAAATGGAATGGGCTTTCGTCAGCCTCGGTTCTACATCGGGCAATATGTTAACGTACTCATCCAAACTCTGAAATCCACCTCCGACCACTACGGAAACCCTTAGCAGACTGCCTTTGCTCCACATCCTGCAGTACGCCGATGCTTCCTTGCCTTGAAACGTGAAGGTGCACATCCCGCTGATCCCGTCCGACCACAGTTTCATCTGGTTGTGATTGTCGGGTCTGAAGGTGAATTGCGTCTGTATGATTGAGAGGAGTCAGAATTCTGATCTTTATGCGGAAAACGCAATAAACGTACAGGAGCATCAGCGAGTACTCCCGCTGCTGTCTTTGCCACACTCTGCGACATGGTTTCTGACATCCGTTGACGTCGAGTGCGTATCTTGTCAGGTACCGACACTGTCGAGGTTGGCGCGGAGACTGAGGTATCGTCCGTTAATGTTCGACGACGAGAAAGTATAGGGATCATTGAATGTGTTGCGTGCACTGCTTGCGAGAAACCCGCCGAGGCGTCTGCTGGAGACTGGGCTTCCGCTTCGTTTGCTTCGCCAGTGACAGTTCCGTGGTCGATCAAGCTAAAACACCAGTGACAGGCACGAACCTTCAGCCACCAAGTGTCACAATAGGTGGTTCAATACGTACGCTTGTCTTGAGTGCAGCAAGGCATGAATACTGTCCAGACGTCGATAACACTCCTCTCTCAACGTATTGACCGCCATTTCTCCGGCCACTCCAAGCGCATACAGGGTCACTTTGTCGGCAGGCACGTTTGCTTTGTCCCTTCGTCTCGGTGAGTTGACAGTCTCTGTTGATATGAACAGATGCAATTAGGAGTTGATCAAACCGTAAAGACAATGACTGAGCGCAACTGACCCATGCATGCTTCTCGTAATACACGATATCCGAAAGCTTCGTAATTCTCCAACAGTTCCAAGTAGTGCATCATCAAATGTTCACGTTCGTCGAGTTTCGCGAGGTCATGAGCATCGTCTGGATCAGGGTCTGTGATGGAGATTGTCTTGACGTTCTGGTTGCGATAAGCCGAAAATGTAGAAGTTCCGTCAGATC